AGGAAAGGTGGGGACGGGCTTGTTAGCAGGGGTGGTGGATTTAAACTAGAAGGGGGCAGATTTACAGTAGATCTATGGAAGAAATTTGTCATTACAAGCATGGTAAAACCCTGGTGCAGGTTCCCCAGAGACCTGTCGATGCCCCATCCCTGGAAACATCCCAGGTCAGGCTGGATGGGGCTCTGAGCAACCTGCTCTAGTTGAAGATGTCCCTGTTCACTGCAGGGGGGTTGGACTGGATGGCCTGGAAAGGTGTCTTCCAACTCAAACTATTCCATGATTCATCCTCATCACTGCAATTTGTATGTAACTGGTAAATAGCCGGCCAAATCTGTCCTCCATTGTATTTTTACTGTCTTACACTATCATCTCACCCAGCCAAATAAATCTACAGAATTACTCTGTTTCTGACAAACCCTTCCAAACCAGTGTCATCAGTTGACTAGTCAGGGAAGAAAAGCAGCTTTCACTTCAGAAATTGACAGTATTTACACAACACCTTTATAATCAAGTGAAGGAAGTGTGATGTAACACAGTTTTAAGTTATGTATAAAGGTTCTGAACTGGTTGGAAGCTGTAAGCAGAGCATTCAGCAGTAGTTCATCACACAAAAAAATGTTACAAACTGTGATTTGTGTGACTGAGCTGTCTACAGAGAAAGGACTAGGTAGGGCAGAAAAAAGATTAATCACCTTCTCCTCTAAGATGCAGTTTAATAGGGGCTGGGCAGTAATAGGTCAAGCAGTGATTTTATGGGATGATCTAAAATAAGAATTCAGGAGTACCAAGTTCATGCCAACAGCTGTGTCCTTACTAAGCTGTGTTAAGAGCACCACCTCTGGCTATTAAGTGTAGTACTTGTGACAGCCAGGAGCTCTTGGTCACAGCACTGGGCACCCACCTTCAAGAAAGCTGCCCCAGCTGGGGAGAGCAGGGCAGTAGAGAAAGCACCAGCTGCAGACCTAGAGGATATGTGACATTATTCTCATTGCATAACAACCCTGTTTACGTGATTAGTACAGATAGCTGTGTATGTACCTCATTAGTCTCATCAGTCAGTCTCAGTACTCTCTTATTCCTTAGTAGATCACTGCCAAGAAAAATTACAAATGGTGGTGCTGAAATACCCCATAATCAACTGCATATTGTACTTTACTTTTAACAGCTTTAGCATTACTTTCTTGCCCTGTGAGAGACATGTACAAATTAAGGCATGGCAGATATGTGCTAAAAAAATGACACCACATGAACATTTCAAAGTACATCATATGTGCAGACACTGTAAAAAACTTCCACAGCAGCCAAAGTTAGCCAGTTTCCATAAGGAGCTCATCTGCAGCTTGATTTATTTTAAAAACTTAATTTTCACTTATAAAAATAATAAAAATAATACTTATGGTAGACTTACAGTACACAAAAGACCAACCAATACCTATTTTATGAAATGGTTTAATGAATGCATGCATGTCTGATACAATGATCAATAAATTTACTGAATTCAAATTATTTACTGTTGTAAACATTTTACAAAAGCATTTGTGATTTATCTGGATATACAGTTCTTGACGGAAGAACTGAATCAGTGGCACATCAGAAAATAAAGCTGACAAGACCCATTCTGCATATTCTCTTTCAACATGATTCCAGCAAGAGAAACAGCATGGTATAAAAAAGTGTACAGTAAAGATTGTTGCTACCATAACATCAAATTCTGGAAACTGTAAATACAAGTTAAAGTGGTTGAAACAGTCAAAAGTCATAATTATTGTAACCAGTCAGAAATTACAGTAAGAAATGTTATCCAGTTACATGTAGCTGTCAAAACAACACATTTCTTTTCGTGTCAGTTGATAATTCTTTTCCAACAAGACAGCAAAACTTTGGCAATCAGAGGTGCTGAAAATAATTTTCAAAGTTCAAGACACAGTCACAGCATTTTCTTTGCGGAAGGTGAACCGTACACCAAGGCTCAGAGGTTGTGAAAACTGTTTCCAAGTGGAAAAAAAGTGCAAATGTCCTGCACAGATAGCTTAAAAAGCTGCTGGCACAATCATTCACCAACAGAATCTTTGTTTTCTTTTTGCATAGTTCACACATCACTGTGAATGTGACAGGGTGTGCTATTTTTGGCAAGAGCAAGAAGAAAGTGATACTGGTGTGGGTTGCCATGTTGGGCATGCTGGATCCATGCAGAATTCAGGTAGAGGGCTGCTACCTGGTGTTATTAGACACAGAATACTGATTTTGTTTTTGTTGAAGCAGTTCAGTAATAGCCAAAAGCTTCTTAAGAACGTGCTGTAGAGAGAGTCAGTAAAACCATACATTAGCAACTGGAACAGAAGAGTCTTGCTTGAGAAGCTTTTTCAGCACTAGCCTATCAGAGCTGCTAGTAGGTGGTTTAAAATGTATTTCAGATTAAAAAAAAGGGAAACAGCTGATTCCCTAGTCAATAAGACACTACATCAAAAGGGAAGTCTAAAACAGCATTATGAGCTTTCCCTCTCCACCCATGGATCTTTTGGCTGCTTTGTGGTTTAAGAGGGGAGGCTAAGAAAGTGTCCTGCTAAGACACTGCTGAGGTTTGCTAGAGAGTTTTCCATGTTTGTTTACAAATGTACTGGAAAACTAGGAAGTGGGAGGTATCAATAGAAAGCAAGGAAAAAGTAAATTCAGTTCTCAACTGGAAGAATAAGATCCTAAAACTAACGACCCCAGAGAGCCTGTCAGGAAGACAGAAATTGGGTGGTGGGTTTAGGCTTCCTCTAGAAATGAAAGCTGCCTCTGGCAGCTTTAAAAAAAAAAAACAACAAGTCTTTGGTTTTGTTGCATGAAGAAACAAAACTATGGAATAAGTATTTTACCTTTACAGCTAGCTCACCTCCTGGTGCAATGCATGTATTTTAAAATGTTTATCAGTCATACCGCTAGCCAGAAATACTACAAAAGGATCCCGATACTAAGGAGTGACTCAAGACATACTGTGATTTGTTCATTAACTTTCCTCTCTTACCTGCATTACACCTCGCTCATTACTGAGCGTCCGGAGTTCATCTGAGTGTGCCACACATATCTCGTGCAAGGCCGCCAGGTCACGAGACAGGTCAGTTCTAGAGTGCTCTGTAGTGTCTGGAAGCTCAGGAACATTCTTCAACAAAACAGAGGAGAGCAGAATTAGCGTGCTGAGTACCCGTGTACACAGGAAGATCAGTGACAGCTCTACAGCTCTGCAAACACAACTGTTTCACACTGCAAGGTTAGTCTTTCCAGCCCAGACCCCATCTCCCTGTTACGAACTATGCATTTCCTCCTGCCCGCAAGCGTGTCTTTTATGTGTATACTGCCATTTCTGCTCCTGCTAGAAGGGTTCTTACTAACATACCTAGTACTGCCACACTGCCACTGAGCTGACCAGAAAGCTACTGCACATAGAGAGTCATAACCTTCCCCTAAATGAGGGGAAATCCATCCATCAGGTTGCTTTTTTCCCATCTAAATGAGCAGCAACAAAAAAAAAGTTCAACAAAATCTGTAACTGTCAACTAACTCATTACACTGGTCATAAAACAGCAATATTGTAATTAAAACAGTAGATTAATCCAACGGTTATGTTCAAACCAACAGTTTAGAGAGACTTCATGCACAATCTGTTCTGTAAAGAAAACTGACAACATAATGTGCAGAAGTTGCAAATTTAACCAGAAAAAGGTGACATTTGGCAAGCAACCTGAATGCCACACTCATTATATCGTATCACAATTTTCTGAGATGCCTTCTAGATCACTTTTAAGGTATCAGTTCAGGAACATTTTTTTCATCTTGGTTTTTAAAATTAATTCTTGGTTTAAAAACGCACATAGATGACACGAGGTCCTAACAGCTGTTACAGCTGTCATACAGTAACAGTGTAAAAGAGTACAGTAACTGCAGTTCACTTTCAAACTACAGCATCTAGAATGCATGCAGTGACACATCTGGTAATGCATAACTGAAACTCAACCTAGTATTATTTAAAGCAAGAAATAATTTCCAGCTCTGGTCAAAACCATACGACAAATTATATATAAGAATTTTTATTTGAAAACATATTTTAAAATATTTGTATTTTTGGCCAAATTTTTAATCCTCATAGATGTTTGAGCTTCTCACATCTACAGAGGCACTCAACGAATAAAGATGACATTGGATGGTTTTAATGCTGTAGGACAGGCCAGCAATCTGCAGTTTCTAAACATGCATGAAGAACAATTTATTCAGTTACAAGCATTCCGAATGGTGTAGGAGTTGATGCATTTTTGAGCTACTAAGTAAAAAGTACGAAGAATTTTCATTTACAATGTTGCTATGTGACTTCCATTAAAGATTTTTTTAACCGCTTACCCCAAGTTCATCCAAGAACATGATCATGCGATGTTTGTTGCTCTTGATGAATGGATTTACACCCTCCATATATGGCTCCTGGTAATTTTTAAAAGTAGTCATTAGAACAAATCAGTGCCAAGATAATTGTCATACCTGAAGTGAACACAGCGCAGTCAGACAAGTGACACTGCAAAACAGTGTTATCTGGAGTAATTTTTTTTTTTTTTCAAGCGAGTTTCTGATCTCTTGTGTGCAGCCAGTCCAAAGACTCCAGAATTCGGTATTTTCTTACATCGAGAAGATTCAGGATCTTCGATTCAGAAATTTTCTTACACGTGCAGAGTGACATGAATTTGCATCAAGATGAATGTCTCTCAATGCCTAGCTGCAAACGTTCTACTTTCAAAAGTACGATCAGGAAGAAGTGCCCCCTTTCTGGTTCTTTCATGAACGCTTACATTCCAAATTATATGTGTCAGAGAAGTAACTTTATAATGCCAGCCTGAAGTCACTTTCATCAACCATGTTTTGGCCTAGGAACTGAGACAGACCAGCTATTGCTGGCATTCTTCTAGTGTTAATAATAGAAACTGTATTGAAAGCTGGGGCTTTTTAGTGCAGTATGTACACCTGATTTACAACATTAATTATGTCTAGCAATGTGAAAGAGAGTACAAATGGAAGGGGTACTCTGAAGTGCTCCACCACAGGAAACACCAATCTAAGGAGTATGTCAACACAGGGTGAGGTTGGCAGCTCTTAATTTGTTTCAGAATTGGATAATGTATACCAAGCTGGGAATTTAGGCCTGATTGTCTCCATCTGAAAGTTAATTACTATATATAGATAGAACCTGTGTGTGGAATGCATTTCAAGGCTGTGTACAGAAGCACACCAATATTACTGAAATACATCTCCCCCTTTGACATCAAATAAGGAATGGAAATGCCAAAAAAAGCCCGTCTTCTATTTAAGGCAGAATATGTATCCTTCCTATTCTTTCCCATCGCAGATTCCTGCTCTGGAAATTCTCAGTGGTCTTTTAGGTATGAATAGTCCAAAAGAAAATGCCCGTTTCACCATCACAGACACTTTCATTGTGGTGGGATGGCTGCCTGTCTTTTCTCTCCCGCTTCTCCCTGCTAACGCAGGAAATACTGGAGTATGACTGCTACCTTTTCTGTTGCAAACAGAAAAAAGACTGCTCCACAAACTTCATCGGTTGTCTTTGGAACAAACGCCTGCTGAGTTTATCTGTGTTCTCATAGCATTAACATATGGTTGCAACACACTCTGTAAGACCTGCTAGTATGGTTATTCGTTCATTGGTTATTTTAACAGACCATTGTTGGTGTTCCTACTACCAGACTGAAAGTCTCCATGGGATGTGCCATGTCATTAATGTGAGTTTCTAGATCACTTCCTCTGAAATGATGATGGCACCTCTTCCTAGTTCAGCCAGGCTATATGCTACTGCTGTAGTTCAGATCAACACCCAGTTTAGCTCTAAATGAAGAGGACAGAAGAAATTGCAGTAACGAGGCCTCCTTGCTGATGAGGACAAACAGGTCATGTGTCGGGCTTTGCATGAGAAAACAGCAGTAGATGTCTGCATGTATTGCATGTTGAAATGTACTGGGAACATAGTTCTAGGCTGTTCTGTGTTTGTAAAATTCCATTCACCTTAGCTCCAAATTCAACCAGATTTGCTAGATTCTGCACAGACTTGGCGACCAGCGTCAGTGTTCTTGCAGCAGTGGGGGAAGGAGAATCTGGCAGGAATACAAAGTAGAGAGTTATTGGCCATTCCATTTAAAACTAACAGTGGTCACATGAAAGCAAAACTCTTCTCTAATTCCTGTTTCTTCATGGAATAAAATACTTTTAATATTATAAGAGAACTGCATGTGGAAGATGTCACTTGTTGCAGTAAAACTTACATACTTGCTTTAGTAATGTCCACAAAAATATATTAGTATGAACATCTGATTTTGCCGTAATTGCATACGGAATCAGTATGCAAAATTAAGTCATGTTAATAAGAGTTAGGTGAAGCATGAACCATTTTCACAAAAACGAAATAGTTCTGTTGAAAGGAGGATTTTTTTTGTTGTTAGAACCCAAAAAAAATTAATTTACCTTTAGAATTAAAAAAAAAAAAGGCAGGTTTGCCTTTCGCCTTACTTGTGTATACACACATAAGTGGGCTCTGACAAGTTATACAGGTTATACTTTAAGTTACTGGCATCAGGAAAACAGTAATCATTGCATGCAATTGTGGCTTGTATTTCCATGGAATTGTGGTCACTTGCTGTACTTAACATTACACTCAACACTTTGTGTTAACAACTTCATCGGTTAAAACTTCCTTTTCCAACCGGTGATATTAACCAGTAGTGTCTTACAAAGTTCTTTTTCCCTCCAGTTACGGTCAATGACCTGGCTGGAAGCCAGGTTTGAAGTGTTCCAAAATTGACACGGCTATTACATAAGCTCTAAATTTTATAGTTCTTCATAAGAATGCTATATGCTTTTCATTGTCTACTTCTTTCTTTTGTGGTTCTTTCTTGCTCTTCCCCTCCAAAATCCACTGAAAAATAAGTTTAATTTTTCTTGCAGAGCTGGAGCTACACAACTAATGTCAGTTGTTCATCGCATCCAGTGCTTGGTACAATAGAAGCCTTTGAAGCAGCAGTGTTGGAAAACATTAGTAGCCTTGGAGTCTGCAACTTCAGGTTAGGAAAACTGATCTTAAGAAGTGAATTACTTTAAAAACCTCAAAGGTGCTTGAAACAAAGGATTTAACTTCTGAAACAAAGTTGGTTTTTTTCAGTCACAGTTGCCGAGGTGATTAGAATTGCTGCTGACACTGAGCCATACCTATACACCCATCCTTCAGAATACATTTTCCCCTGTTACAGGAAGAAGGTATGTTTGAAGCTTTGCTGCAAAAGAAGGACTGTCTCATCCCTTGTTTTGAACAGCTCTAAAAGCCGTGCAGGGCATCTGTAAGTTTACTGTAGCAGTAGTCAAGGATATTAGCTGGATGTACACGAGCAGGACTTTAACCCTCACAGACAAGTTTAAAAGGGTTTACTCAAATTTAGGGGTAACTTTTTACACTTGCAGACACAGTGCAACCCAAGTTAGGAGGTACCTAACTTGCAAATTACCTGAAAATAAGATAATCCTAAAGAAGGGATTACTGTGTACCAGGCCATGTTTCTCCAAAGCATGTATGGCAGTGATTACTGGGTGAGGGAAAGGAACTTTCTGTTCAATGCAGCCCTTCTCATTTAGTATAGCTTGAAGAGAGACAATAGAAAACATGCCACGTTGTCTTAAAAACTGTCTATGAATAAAGTGGGGGGGGGAGTAAAAAAGGTTTTCTGAAGCAGATTTCCGATTTCTTCCCATTTCCAAATTGGCATTCTACTGGTAAAAATCAAGAAACTGCTAGGGAGGGAAGGAAGAAGAGCAATGGCTAGTGTATCTAAATGGCCTCTATAGCTTGGGGTGATCTTTGCCAAGAAAAAAAAAAGGAAAACAAAGATGAAGCATAACATATGCAGACTTTTAAAACTAAGCAACTCTGATGTCCTAATATTTTAACCTTAGTAATAAGTTTTCAGTAGTTTATGCCTTTCCTTTTTTCCTCCCACAGAAGTTAAAAATGCCAACAAGACATTTCTAGGTGCTTCAGGCAACTGCCGTGGGGGAATGCATGCCCTCACCACTAAAGCTTCACAACAGGAAAGCCCCACGCCAACAGCATGTCAGATGTGTTCCCTGCTGTGTGCCACCATCCCAACCACCCCGTGAGCTGCTTGGGAGAATGCTGACAGTGGCCAGCATGGTGCCACAGGCCAGGACAGCAGTTGTGCCATCCTGTTCTTCCAAACAGGAATGTTCCCTGTTGCTGTTTTAGCTAACTACTACAGATGCACTCTACCAAGAGAGCATCAAAAAGCAGGCTAAGACCTTACGTGGTGAGAACATTCACTTGGGCAAGCCCCATGGGAACACTCCTATATGTATATGGCCTCAGAGTCATCCAGGATTACCATCTCGAGTTTGCACAACCCACCCTTTCTCAATGCCACCCTGCTCGCTCTCTCGTCTTTAAGATTCCGTATTTGAGATTGACTATACTTAAGGATCTCCCCTATGGCTGCAAGCTGTCAAAACAGGACGTTTGAACAAGTTACTCAAGCGTAATCTTCTAGGTGCACAAATGTTTTCCAAGCTCTGCAGACACATTTCCAACTTTATACATCTTGCTCATTTAAGAGATAGCATTGAATTTCAGCCATTAACTTTGGCATTGCATTGTATTTAAAGTGGTACCTGAAGATCACACATTCACATTTTTCACACTGCTAAAAATATATTCCACATTGCTACACTGTAAATCAAAATGGTATTATTAAATACCACAGTGCAAGTTTTTCTGGACCTTAAAATTACATTGGGGATAATCACAATCTAACCTCTGGGGGTGAAAAGCATATGCTGGCTCCTTATGGAGAAGTCAAGTGACACAGATAACATGATTTTGGACACAGTGTTCAAAAAACTTTCCATTTTGCTACATTAGACACTACAGTAATTTCATGCCTACTACTTTATAAAGTATGAATTAAATCTGAAGCATATAGTCACCTGAGATGATATCAAACATCCTTGGGTTCAGGATAGCAGGACAAATCAGTCGAAGAAAAACAAAGCCACTGAAATGGGAAGAACATTGTATTTTGTTCAGTAAAACTAAAGAACTAATGTAAAATTGTGTAGTCTTTAAGGATTCAAGTTCGCATGGAAACTTTCTGAAACAGACACCAACCAACCAGCCTGCACTCTGTTTAAGAATATCATGCTATGACTTCAACAATGATAAAAGCTGAAGGAATAGGCATATTGATTTCCCAGTGGGAAGAACTTAATTGTAAAGTTATAGTGAAGCCAATGTCAGACCATGCAGGTTTGAAAAAGGAGAAGCCCCTGGTCTCTGACCTCCCCAAGTTTTCCCACTGTCTGCTGCACCAAGGCATGCATCCCACAGCCATCCACTCCCCCAAGCCAAGGTAAGGAAGAGCACAGGAGCGGGTGGGCAAGGGGATCCTCTCTTTTGGCAGTAACACAGCCATAGGTCAGCTTGAGCCGATCCGTATCTCGGTGACAGTATGCTACAGTAGAAAATTAATAAGGGATCTGCTACTTTCCTCCACAAAGTAATTGCTGTCATCTAGAATGCTGGGAAAAAAATGCTCTGTTTTGACTACAGAACTAGGAACTCGTTCAACAGAAACCCAGAATAGGTTTCAGTAGCATGAGAAAAATCTTAACTTTCTGTTCATAGCAGAAGCAAAAAACATCCAGCTCAGGTTAACATCAATTCTGGCTAATTGCTATACAATGAAGTGCTATATGGACCAACTAAAGCAATCTAAATCATCTTTAATTTTGTTCAGAGTGCTTGGGCACTACCAGCAGACTGGTTTTTATTACAGCAGTACCAAAGCCTGACCACTTAGAAGTAAGGGGACCTTACACTACTTTGCCCATTGACAAGTACACAGTGATCATAATGTCCATATTACTTGAAAATGACACACATAGAAGGGAGGTAAACACACCCAAGACACCCAGTATGTACCGTAACGGATGTTTCTCGCTTATCCAAGAATTACGGGCTGGTAAGACAACGGTTCTTGGACATAAATGAAGGTAAAATATTTTCTATGGTGTGAATTTAAAGCTATGAGGAAGTAATTTTGAAGTCATGGCATATACACCAATTCCTTTTTTAAAGGGCCCAAAGTTGAAAGCCAGTGAGGTATGAATTTAGAATCTACCTTGCTGATGCAGAAGATGTGGTGCTTCTTACCATAGGCAACCTCCCTAAATTAAGAATGAACCAATATCTATGTGGGGCTTTTACAACCAGAGAGGAATGCCAGCACCTTCCTACTGATACAGTAGGGAAGATACCCAGACGTCTGAAAACTGTCCCATCTGGCTCTGAATATTTAATCATTCTTGGACCAAAAATAGTGCAATAAAAGATAATAATAATCAATGAAGGCTCTGGGACTCTGTACTCCAGAGAAAAATCACTAGTATCCACTTGTAAAAACTAGTATCACAAGAGCAAGGGATTCAGTATTTATAACATCCAGTGGAGACCTCTGGAAAATCCTGCATGTGAGCTGTGTCCACTAAGGAAAGCCACATGGTGTTCTCTGGAGCAGGGAAAGAACAGAAAGAGGTAGGATATGCTCTACAGCCTTCTGGTAGGTCAGCCTCTCAAAGTAAGAGCAGCCTCCATTTGAAGGCAATGCCCTTGCATGGTACCCTGCATAAGGCTTCTGGCATCAAAATGATAAACACAAGCCAAAGGCAAATCCTCTGAAAGACTCCCTCCATGGGAGATTAAGCTCAGCAAATCACCTGACTGCCAGACACTGCAAAAAAGGAAAGATGTGGCTCTGATACACTTAACACCC